GCCAGATAATTGAATGAGTCTACGTGATCATTCCTTTGGATAACGACTTCATGGGCTATGGCTTGATATAGGAGAGTTTTCTATTTGATAAGAGCGTGCCCAAAAGGAGTGTCTCTAAGCACTTAGTCATTTCCAGGTAGCTGTGTGTTTTTCTCCTTTTCGGTGCTGTATGATCCATGAGGATTATTTCTTGATGATTCAGCCCCTTATCTCGTGTCATCTGTAGTTTGTTTATGGACCCTACAGTTTGCTTGTTCAGGTTCAAAGAGCATCTCTCTGGGACTCTTCCAATATGGGTTGCAATGCGAAAGACAGGATTGTTAATTCATTTGGGAGGAATGAAAATCACTGGAGGAAAAGTCAAGATCCATCAGCCACCAGCCTGAAACATTCTGTGAGCCAGCTGAAGACATGAAAGAGGAAAACATCCCGAAGGAATGAGAACTGTGTGCTACTGCAGACAGAACTCCACTCTGCACTAAGATACACCACGAGGCTGCATTCAACTGCTGGGCTCTGCTGGCATTCAGAAGCAAACTCCACGATTCATGCCAGTTGATGTTATGAATCTTTTATGTGCAGTCCCAAGGTATCTCTTGCTTTAGGGATACTATAACTGATTGCTTTAAAACAAGTTAAGTCTTCCAAAAAAGAACAAATCTCTCTGCTCCTCTTGTCAATTTTAAGTCTCTACTCAAGATGATTCTAAACTAGAGCACGCAATAGGGGCTGATCTTGCATTCCCTACTATTGGAATAGGTGTCTTGCATCCCATCCTAATAGTATCAAGAGGCTGGTACAGCCTCATCTCAGGTGCTAAGGCACAGCACAGTTGAGAGCCCTCTGCTGAGAACGCTCTAACATCGCTGCACTAGAACCTGGCTTCCGTCAGCCTGTATGTCCCCTTCCAGTGCAGTTGCTGTGATGAGGTGCGTAGCAGGAAATGGGCTCCTACCGATTATCTTGTATCTTATTTATTTTATTTTGTACAGCAGCCACGTGTGGTCTCAGTACTGAAGAGAGACTGAAACATCAAGAGGATGATTCTCTGCATTAGAATCCTAGTTGAGTCCAAAGATGAAGGTGTGAGGCATTGAATTAGCCCAGTGGTCTGCAGAATTCATGAGGGGGAGAAGCGGTTTCCTAGACATAAGATTTTTCTCTCCCCTCCCTGCCTCTTTCTCTGCCTCAGTCACTCAAGATGGAGAGTGTGTGTTTGTTTGTGTCTTGGACCTTTTCTGTTGAACACTACAACCCACTGACATTGCTCCATATATAATTTAAGCCATAGCTCGGCTCTGACAGCTTCTGAGTACCAGCTGTGCTCAGAGAAACGTGTTCCCCAGTGATTACCAGAAAGGAGAGGAGGCTACCCAGAAGCACAAAGGATGTGGATGTGGACCTGGAGTAGATGTTCTCCATTAAACGTCAATTCGTCCCAATTTCTAATTCTGTCCCGATGGCCTTGCGGAGCTCATCATTGCGGTTGCATTTGAATTTGGAGGAACAATCATCCAGCATCCACTCTGCTGAAGTTCAGATTCCTTTACTTTAGGGTGGCAGTGGCTGGTACACAGCATGGCAGGGGACAGAGACAGAGCTGAGAGCCTTTCTTAGTGGTCAAAGCATCAGGATTGATGTAATGAGACTTTGTGGAGCAACTGGTTCTAATTCCAGTGGAGTCATCAAAGTCCCTCAAACTTCAGAGGTAAATGCAGTTTCTTCCTGGTTTCTCTTTGCAGGTCCGTTAGGACTTTGGTTTTGCAATGTCTCATCTATCAGCTCTGTATGGATGTTAAAGTCCCCATAGAGCCTTAAGCCAGAGTAGGGGTTTGTCCTGCAGCCCTTGGCCAACATTTTTCCTCTTCCTCTTGCTGTTGTGCCATGTGCCTGTGGTCCACCTGACCACTGTCTGCCCACCCCAGCATTGGCCGCATTTCAGTGATCAGTGTTTGTTCTCACTCCCACACTGACATATGTAGGAGAGAGAATTCCTTTCATTCTAAGCTCTTTACATACATAATTACAGTTTATAACTAATTTTTGAATGAAAACTTTTATTTACCTGGATACAGAGTTCGTGCTGCCGAAATTCCCTTGGGATGACATTATAAAGGATGCTGCCACTGGGTTTTCATCAACATAATTTCTGGTACAAAACAGATCTTTTCTTCAGACAAAATTTTACTGAGGATTTTTTGTATCATATAATGCAAAAGAGGGTTTGTTTCATTATTGTGCTATTGAATGTTTTTTTTCTAAGAGAAACACAAGGTATGATCTGACAAAGTGAGAATCCAAGGGCTGTCACTCTCTGTGTACTATGTAAGGAGGCAAGACACTGAATAGGCTGGTGTGGCATTAAAAAAAAAAAAAACACCCCACACCTAAGTGTTAGCAATTGGCATCCTGACTGGCAATCCCAGCAGAGAAATTAAGGACTAAATGGGCCCTGGGAATGAACTATTTTCACCCTAGAAGTGGTTCCTCCAGAGTCCTCCATTGTTCAGCCACAGAGAAGGATTCCTGTTCCCAGAGTTATTAAAACACCACCTTCCTCTATCATCCCATCCATTTCTGAAAGAAAAGCCCACTAGGAACTCCCCCCAGGGAAGTGTTGTTCAGAGCAGCCAAAGATCCCGTGATTTTCATGTTCCTGTGCAAAGGGTCAGAATCTCGAGAGTTGTACAGAGGAGAGACTAAGTTAAGTGCCCAGTTATCCAGACTTAGTGAATCTTAAGAGAACCTCCCATAGACTGTTCAGAAGGCTAGAATTCTGATCCCCATATTTACGTAGGGAAAGCAGCTAATTCCACAGGGAAATATACATTTAAACCAAACCAAAATGGCTCCAGTACCTATAAAATCCACCTTCCACTGCATTTCAGACTCCATGATAGAAAACTGTTATGCCATGTAAACCCTGCAAAATCAGTCCAATGACTTCCTAATGTGAGATCATGACACATGCATTGTAATAGTTGTTAGTGGTAGAGATGTCTATAATTAAATCTGTGAACACTTCCCATTTGAAGATTCCTGTTTTCAGTTGCTTATAACTCTGCCAACCTTTAACCATTCAGATAGGAATCTTCCATGCTGCCTGTTTGCCTCTGACTGAAATATTTTTGGGAAGCTTCTGTAAAAATGGTTCAACCCTTCCTTAGGTTAGGGAAATCGACGGTGTTTTGATAATGCTAAATTCTTACGCCCATTTAGCTGAGAAGCTCTGTCTCCATGCTTTGGAGCAGTGACTTGAAATTTTGGCAAGGGGATGGCCCTGGTGGCAGGGATGCGCCTTTAGCCATCCCCGTGAATATCTGCCCAAATTTGGCCAAGTTATGAGCTTCTGAACAATCACAATTCGCACATGCTTAGAGGTTTGCAGCGTTATTTTTCAAAGCTGCCATCCGCACTAAACATGTTCTGTCCTCATGCAGCCCCCACAGGCTACACATCCCCCAAGGATGACTGAGCATGCGCCATTCGGGGCAGAGCAGGACTCTCTCTGCTTTGCTCCTGCATGCTGATGGCGATCCATGGGGCAGTGGTATCAAGGGCAGGCAGGGAGACTTTCATGTATGCTCAGTGCTGCTCCAGCTCGGCCCAGGTAGTGCAGCCAATTCTCACAAGTAATGCCATTTTGGCCCCTACTGGAGCCAGTAGCCCAATGACAGGAGAAGCTCCAGCCCTGCCCAGAGGAAACCCTCTCTTATTGGCTGTCTTCCCCGCTTGCCTGCCTCTGGGGGAAGAGCAGCCAATCAGGGCCGCTGCAGGAGGAAGGCAGGTGGAGCAGTGAAGAGCTCCTAGAGCTGCCCCCACCACCCTGGAAAGGGGATGAGAGGAACCCCATTGATGCTGCCCCCCTCAGGGCTGGGAGAGGGGGGTGAAGAACCCTGGGAGCTGCAGAAGGTGGGCTGAGGGAGCAAAAACGATGCAGTAGCTGGAAGTTGTGTAATTAATTGGGCTGGAGAATACTTAATGAATTAATTAGAAGTGTGGGGCTTGGGGAGAAGCTGGAAGCTCCACGCTACCAGCCAACCAGCAAGAGCTGCATCCAGGACCAGAATCACCTTACAGTGTTAAAGCCTTGGCCCGTCTAAGCCTTAGCACAGATCAGGGATGTGGGTGGGTCCTGTTTACACTACTGCATGGAAATGTTGCACCTGGAACCCTGGTTTGGTTCTAGCGGTAGTGCCTATGAGGTCTGAGGGCTTTTTCTCCCATTCAGTGCGCAAATGGAGGATGCTGACCATTAATTGTTGTCAGCCAGACATGGAAAGAGACGGGGTGGTGGTTGTCCCTGCTGGAACTTGATTGACCTTTTTTTGCAGGGATTCTGCTGGGACCTGAATTCTGCAATACAATATTATCTCAGCTTGCCCAGCATGGAAAGTCTGGAGGAAAAGATCCTACCAGACAGAAGTGACTACGGAGGGTGGGGAATTCAAAACAATCTAGGGCCAGCCCCTGGGTGCTGCAAAGCTGTAAGCCCTGGGTGGCACACTCAGCACTGAAATAAGCGTCTGGCTTTGCGCTCATCGGGCTTCTAACGCAAAGGCTGAGACACAAGCCCCCCTCCCTCTCCAAACAATCCCTTCTATAAATCTTTGTTGGTGAAGTGTAACTGGGCTGGGCTATGTCTCAGCTCCCAGCCCTTTTCCTGTGGGTGGGTGTTTGTGTGGATGGGGAGGAGGGAGCGAGTGCCTAGCTGCCCTCGCTGTTCTTGCCCATACAGGTGTGCATAAATTGAAGGAATGCCAGACTGAGTCACGGGAGCCTCCCCTCCCCCTCTACCTGAGCTGGAATAAAACTGTCCCTTTCTGGAAAAAGGATCCCACTACAGCTATCCTCACCTCACCCTCTCTCCTCCTCTCCTTACACCACTGGTGAGAGAGACAGGCAGAGGGAGTAACTCCTAAGAGAAAGAGGAGGAAAAGAAGTCAATATTTGATCAGAGGGGACAGAGAGCCCTGCAAAGTTATGTCAAGTTCATGAGCTGCCTGCCTGCCCTGTGGATTTAAACTTGGCAACTGAATGGAAAAGAGAGAAAGGGGACCAAAGAAATAAAATAAACAGGCTAAGTGTGGAAGTCTGCTGGTGGCAGTGAAGCAGTGAAATTCCCCTTTTGCCTTCAGAAGAATTTCTTGGCTTGCTGTGTGGGTGACTGCTGTTTGGATTGTTGCAGAGGATTTGGACTTTGAATCAGACAAAGCACTAATGAGGTTTGTGGAATTAATTTATCTGTGTTCTTTAGTGTGGCGCTTGCTTTAATTTTTTGCCATTGATTAACAAAGGGGAGCGGTTACATGAAGCACAGGGCTTCTCTCACAGGTAGGCACAGGACAGATTGAGGTGGATTGCTTATTGTATGTATCTTTTTTGGTTTTTTTAAACTTTGTGTATTTTCATTCCTTTGTGCTGCTTGGAAATGGCACTGGTTGATCAGACAGGTTTGTTTTGCAGAGTTGTGCAGTTGTTTGGGGGGAAGGGGGTTACCTTGTTAAAATATGTAAAGTGCTGTCACACACACACACCCCAACCATGTCTGAGTTGTGGATTAGCAAACGTTGTCCCAGGTTTCTAAGGTTTGCTCTTTTCATTCCGCTGCTTTCTAGCCAGGGAAAGATGAACTGTGCCAGGAGAGAGGGCATAGGGAACTTGTAACTAAGATGGCCCAAAGTGTTCAGATCTGTAGGTTGGGTTTAGTCCATTATAAACACGGGCCATTTTGCAAAATGTGGATCTGTGTCCAAAGTTTGGGGTTGAGCCAGTTAGAAAAGGGCCAACTATGAAATCCGGGTTCAGATACAGGATCAGGGAGTTTGGTCTCTTCTGAATTGCAGATAGAGTTCGGCTTTTTCTTGCGGGCAAATCTGGCGTAGAGTGTGCACAAGAGAAGGAATACAGGGATGGGGAGGGGCGGTGAGTGGGGGGGGAATAAGGGAGGCAGAGTGCATGTGTTGGACAGGATAAGGGGAATAAAGTATGTTGGGGGAGATAAAAGGGGCAGTGGAGGGTTAGAGGACAGGAGGGGGCCATGTGTCGGGCAGTTGGAGGATAAGGGGCTGTGTGGGGAGGGGAGCAGGGAAAAGCGTGGGGATTTGTGGACGTGGAGCTATATCAGAATTCTGAATCCTGGTAACAGCACAGACAAGATTTGCGGTGCACTGCTGCAGATGCTCACCTCAGCAAAACCGTCTCCTAGCTGCTGGGCCCCTTTGTGGGGAGGCGACTGGGAGGAGAGGGGCACTAGAGTGAATGTGGTTTTCCAAGGGGCAGTCAGTACGCACTGGCCCGGCTGGACAGGGGCATTCCCCATGGTGTAACATTAGCACTGGAGGGAACAGGATACCACAGGGCATTGCTAATGAGCTATGGAGCATTTCACTGAGCAGTATGACTCCTGCCCAGCTCAGCAGGGATTAAAAGTTGTTCCCACCTACTGGATACTTGGTGGCCCCTAATGAGTTTGGTTTAATGAGCCGTGTATGGACGCACCCCTATGTTTTGCACTAGACTGTAAGCTGGAGGCAAGGGCTGTCTTGTGCAGCATGTTTGTACAGTGCCTAGCACGATGGGGCCCAAATCTTGGGAGTTCCTGCAGCAGGGGCCGAAATCACATTACTATAGATGGCAAAAGTTTGTGTCTCGCACACTGGAGGGGTATTTTGGGGGGATCGCTCTCCTAACTTGCGAATTTTGGGGGTTAGCAACAGAGAGTTCTGGCTCCTCTGCCTTGCGGGGACTTTCCGCATGTAGCTGCGCAGGGGGGGCTGATGAGTCCACAATCATCCTGCAGCCCTACCGTTCAGGGAAGGGCTTAGCCTGAACTGAGGCAGCTGCGCTTCCAGCCAAAGAGCAGCTTGCTGCTGCCCCACAGCCTGCAAGCGTTGGGGGTGTCCCCTAGGACACATTGTGTTAAGTGCTGTACAAACACAGGACTAATTGTAGGTGTGATGTGCTGCATCTCTTTGAGTGGTCAAACACGAACTCCTTTTAGGGGGTTATACCTGGAGCAATGTGCCATTGGAAAGGGCATTTGGCTTTGGTTTGAAGGGGTGTCTCTGGCCCTATTGCTTATGCAAGTGTGTGTGTGTGTGTGTGTGTGTGTGTGTGTGTGTGAACATAAGAATAGTCTGACCCAGTATGGCCAATGGTGCATCTAGCCCAGTATCCTGTCTTCCAACAGTGGCCTGTGCCTGATACTTCAGAGGGAATGAACAGAACAGGGCAATTATTGAGTGATCCATTCCCTGTTGTCCAGTCCCAGGTTCAGGCAGTCAGAGGTTTAGGCATACCTGGAGCATGGAGTTGTGTCCATGACCATCTTGGCTAAAAGCCATTGATGGACCTATCCTCCATGAACTTATTTAATTTTTTTTTTAACCCAGTTATAATTTTGGTATTCACAACATCCTCTGGCAATGAGTTCCACAGGTTGATTGTGTGTTGTGTGAAGAAATACTTCCTTATGTATGTTTTAAACCTGCTGCCTATTAATTTAATTGGATGATCTCTAGTGTTCGTGTTATATGAAGGAGTAACTATCACTTCCCCCTTCATCCACACCATTCATGATTTTTTTTTTAGACCTCTATCATATCCCGCACTTCAGTCATCTCTTTTCTAAATTGAATAGTCCCAGTCTCTTTAATCTCTTCTCATATGGAAGCTGTTCCGTACCACTGATCATTTTTGTTGCCCTTCTCTGTACTTTTCCCAATTCTAATGTATCTTTTGGGGGCTGGGGCAACCAGAACTGTACATAGTATTCAAGGTGTGGGCATACCATGGATTTATATAGTGCATTATGATATTGTCCTAATTGTTCCTAACATTCTGTTCGCTTTTTGGACTGCCACTGCACACTGAGCAGAAGTTTTCAAAGGAATGACTCCAAGATCTTTCTTGAGTGGTAACAGCTACTTTAGACCCCTTCATTTTGTATGTATAGTTGACGTTATATTTTCCAATGTGCATTACTTTGCACTTATCAACATTGAATTTCATCTGCCATTTTGTTGCCCAGTGACCCAGTTTTGTGAGACCCCTCTGTAACTCTTGGCAGTCAACTTTGGACTTAACTATCTTGAGTAATTTCATATCGTATGCAGACTTTGCCACCTCGCTGGTTATCCCCTTCCAGATCATTTATGAATATGTTGAACAGCACTGGTCCCAGTACAGATCCTCTGGGGCCCCCGCTGTTTACTTCTCTCCACAGTGAAAACTGACCATTTACTCCTACCCTCTGTTTCCTGTCTTTTTAATCGGTTACTGATCCATGAGAGGACCTTCCCTCTTATTCCATGACAGCTTCCTTTGCTTAAGAGGCAAGTACACTATATCAACTGGATCACCCTTGTCCATGTGCTTGCTAACATCTTCAGAATGCTAAGGTTGGTGAGGCGTAATTTCCTTTTACAAAAGACTCCTCCTCAACATATTAAGTTCATCTATGTGTCTGACAATTCTGTTCTTCACTGTGATGGGTAGATTGGGAAGTAATGAATAGATTTCATTTGCATTACCAAAGAGCTCATGCTTTGCAGACTTTGCCTGGGTAGAATCTAGGTTTGCCAATTTTAGTTGGACGTATTCCTGCAGGTTTCGATACTCTTTAATTAAAGATTAATCTTTAACTCCTGGAGACTCCAGGACAATCCTGGAGGGTTGGCAACCTTAGCAGAATCTCTGTCGGGGGTGTTCACAGAGTACTCCCCAGTGATTTAAATCCAGGTGGGTGCGTAAGGGATTAGAGGCGTGCAAGGAGCCTGCCGCTCCCACTTGAGGCTTGGACAGGAAATTCAGTTCGGACCCTGCTGCCAAACCACTCTGCAGGAGTGAGGCCATTTCAAGAGGGAAAAATTAAAGCTGCTGTGGAGTGTTCTGGGATATTCAGGCTGAGGGGTCAGATTCTGCTGTCAGTGACCCGCGCCCCCCTTTTCCTTGTGAAGAGAGGCTTTCTCTCACCTCCCCAGCGGTCCGGGGATGGCCTTGGGGTTTCTAAGCACCTAGCTGCGTTCCCTCCTTGCCAGCCCCCGCCTGCAACTGAGCAGCCAGTGTGACGTCTGGCCCCAGGGAGGGGCAGCTCTGTGAGGCTGGGTAGAATAATGCACTAAGTACTGGACTAGGAGCGGGCGGTTCTGATGCCGGGGTCGTGATAATGATGAGATGTCGGCTTGCTCCAGGGGCAGGAGAGGCTGTGGGGCTGTGCAAAAGAACCAAACTTTCCTGGGAAGGGCCCTTTCCAATTAAGGACTTACTGGGCACATGAGTGGGGGTGGGGAGGGAATGACTCAATTTGCCCGTACGGATGTCAGGGCGTCCCAGCAGGAGCACTTCGAACATCCGCCATAAAGCACTTCAAAGGGCAGTTGAACACATTACTTTAAAGGGTCAGATCATCCGTCCCTTCTTCAGGGAAAACTCTGGGGAAATTGGGGGAGATTCGCCTAGGGGAGCAGGGAGATTCGCTCCAATTTGGACAGGCTGAGCAGGAGGCAGCACTGACGTTCACTATTCAGAGAGGGAAGGGTGGTCGAGTGCTGGAGGCACTGGGCTTGGGCATGTGTGAGATCTGGGCTTATTTCCTGGCTCTGCCACAGGCTCCCTGTATGACCCAGGACAAGTCTATGCATCTCTCCAGGCTTTGAATTCCCGTCTATAAAACGGGGCTCGTGTTTCCTTCCTCTGTCTCGTCTGTTTGGATTGTCAGCCCTTCGGGGCAGGGCCTGTCTCTCACTGCGTGTCTGTGGAGCACCCAGCCCAATGCGTCCTGTTAACAGATCTTACCACCCTTGCCGCAACTATCAAATTTCAGTGCTTCTGTAGCAGTGCAAAAGAATCATGCGCTTTGCACCCAAACTGCTGTTGCCTCCAGCTCCTGGCTGGAGACGGTGATCCGGGAGGGCTCAGGGTTAGGAAGAGGGATATTTCTTACGAGTGCCTGTCAAACCTCAGAAATAGGGGGCAGTATTCCGGCAAGTGGCCCCCCCATCGGTGGCGGGGGCTGAGATGCTGTAGGAGATGCTGCTGGGAGTGAGGGGTGGGCTGCTGTGAGGCCGTGTGATTCCCCCCCACCCAGAGTGCTTTGGGAAGGGGAGCGGGAGCCGGTTACTTGGGAGGAGAGACTGAGGAAATTCCTATTGTCCAGCAGCCCAACACGGCCGTCCTAGACCGAGACAGGGCCTGAGGGGAAACCTGAGCACACTGAGTCGTT